CTAACAAACACACACACACACATTAACAGACACACACTCACTGGCAAACACATACACACTCACAGACACAGTCAGACAAACACACTAACAAAACACATTTTTTAATTTATTTTTATTTACCCCCCCCACCTCCTTACCTTTGGGAGTGCTGGGGGGGGAGGGGGGTTCATTACCTCCCTGGTGGTCCAGTGGTTGCCGGGCTGGGCTGGGCAGGCGGCTGGCGAGGGAGCTCTTCCCCTGAGCGGTCTGCTCAGCTCCCTCGCGCCGCAAAGTGAGGCTGGGAGCCGGAAGATGACGTCATCTTCCGGCTCCCAGCCTCACTCTGCGGCGCGCGAGGGAGCTGAGCGGACCGCTCAGGGGAAGAGCTCCCTCGCCAGCCGCCTGCCCAGCCTAGCCCGGCCGGTCAGTTAGCCGCGAGGCTAACAAAGCATTTGCCTGGGCATTTGGGGGCGGCGTTTTTTGCCGCCCCCTGAAAAATGCCGCCCAAGGCAAATGCCTTGTTTGCCTCGCGGCTAAAACGCCCCTGTGTATAGGTAAGTGTATTGGCTGCAGTGCACACACAGACACAAGCTACATCCTCAGCCTATACACAAGACACATGTTACATCCCCAGCACACACACACACACACACACATATACTACATCCCCAGCATGCACACAAACACATAAGCATCCTTGCCAATGAAAGAGACCACGTGCCTACTCACCAACTTGCCCACTGGGTTCTTGCCTCCCTCCTAGTCCAAACAAATTCCCTTTTCCTTTCAATGCTTACCACCAGCTGGCTTTTAGCTCGGTGGGCATGTCCTAGTCGGTAACTTAAAACGTTACCCTACAGAGCAGGGGAAGTTGAAACCCAACCTTGTCCATATCCTGACACTCCATGTAATAGCCCCCAAAACCTTTTGGCAAAAACACACCTCCCACTAGCTCTGACATAGACAATAACATATAGAGCAGAGGGTGGGTGGGAGGGAAGTTGTTTGTTGGCCCATCTCCCAAAAGGCACTGAGGTAAGATGATCCCTACACCACTCCCAAACACATAACCTCTCCCATATACACATACAACCAATCACCAACATCTATCCCCACACTCATACATGGCCCTTGTCCGCTTAGCTGTGCTATCTCCCCAGGGCATTGTATGGACTTAGCGGGAAATGTGATGCAAATAAGAATAATGGAGTCTACCCCAAATACCCCCCAATAACAACAGACACTAAATTTGGATTGAACAGTCCACAGCATTTATTAAAATGTAAGACTGTAGGACTCATCCAACATTTATTAAACTTTATCATTTGCAACTGACATGGCCCCCCCGCCTCAACCCTGCTGTTTTAAGCCTAAAATCAGCAGGGGCCCCACCCAAACCACCCAAGGCTTGTTCCACCATTGCCAGCATGCCAAGATTAAAAAGGTTAAACCCAACCTCCATGAGGTGAACTCCATCATCCAGAAACACATTAGCTGCCACCCGTCCGAAAACACCCGGTGGCAAACCGGAATCCCCTTACCCTCAAACAAACCTAGAGACCCTCCAATTTAGCTTCATATGGCAGCGTTCCATGGCTCTGATTAGCCACACATCATGAAACAGAACTAAAATACACACCAAGACCCTCTTAAGGGCAGACGCCAAAACCCCACATTGGTATCGTCCCAAGCTCATTGCCCCCCAGGTGGATAACCCGAAAATTAGGGATCCCCCGGAGGCAGGACAACTGAACCTGCTCCGGGAGGAGCTGAATCCAATTCATACCTCTGGCACCAAACCAACGAACCTCTGCTTCAGAAGGTGTAAAACCCAATAACTCACCTCCCGGATGGACAGCCGCATGCCTCCTGGCCCAGAATACAGAAGAGTGCAAGATCACCAAAACCTTTGGGGGACTCGAAACCGGCGGATAGAAACCTCAATGCAGGAGACCGGCAGACAAACATATCAGACAAGACGCCCAGATTCTCACCTCCCGATCCTATGCACTACGTGCCATACCCATCCTAACAGCCTTCAAAGCAGCGCCAATCTGAAAGGAATGCCCACAATATTACTTGCTGTCAATCTCCAGGACCATCAGCCTTGAACGAAAGACCCAAATAATTGGGAATGAGAACGAAAGATCCTATCTGAATGAACTAAGAGAGGGCCTGTGAATACTTAGCGCAGCTCACAGTTCTCCACAAAGGAAAAAAGTGCACATAGCTGAGCCCCCATACCCTTCCCGAAGACATCCGACCTCGAGTTTCGAATTTCTATAGCGATATGATCCACAGAGCACTGAACAGTGGCAAACAACACCCCACCACTGCATGGCCCACTAGGAATCACTAATACCCCCATGCGCCTGGCCCCAAAAAATGCGTACACCGACCTTCCAGCATCTGCGGTAGAAACACGCCCCCCAAGCCTGATAGTGCACACTACGAATGCCGTGGCAGAATCTTCCCACCCATGTAGCTTGAACAGGAAGCTAAGACCCGCAAAACGTAATTTATTTTTTTGGCTAGCAAAGGGCCTCCACCCCCCCTACCAGCTCCACCTCCCCATGGGGCCCCACTCACCTTGGCTGGCCTGGTCACAGTTCCGCCGACCGCAAGGCACCCAGGAAGGCCTCCCTGATGCCCCAGGCTGTCCGGGCTGTGCATGGTCCACTGTCCATAGCCGGAAGCTCACAGGAAATCACTCGGGAAGCAGGCTGCGTGTCATAAGGGGCAGACACGTGGGCCTGGCGGTGCCTAGGACCTGGGCTCTGGCTCCTATACGGGGCCCGAGGCCCTGTATCCGAAACCAGGGAGCAGGCGGGCCGGAGCCACGTGGGAGGCCCCAGCAGAGGCCTGGCCGTGAGGGGGAGGGCTCATACCGGAGACCAAACCAGACTGAAAGGGAGCCAATTGCTCAGGAAGGTACCTACCCCCATCCAGGGCAGCTGCAGCTCTGATGGCCGCAGGATTGAATCAACATCCATCCTTAAGCAGGTAAAATTAATAGGCCCAGGACAAACAGGATAAGTTGTTTGCTGGCCCGTCTCTCAAGAGGCCCTGAGGTAAGATGATCCCTACACCACTCCCAAACACATAACCACTCCCATATACACATACAACCAATCACCAACATCTATCCCCATACTCATACATGTGCCCTTGTCCTCTTAGCTGCGCTATCTGCCCAGGGCAGAAGCATATATGTTGTTTTTTTAGGGGGTGGGGAGGAAGGGAGCATTTCATACTTGGATCCAGGCAGCACAATGTCTTGGGCCAGCCCTGAATCTAACAGATGACCTTCTGAAGAGCATTAAATCTATTTTATATAGTCATGGAAAATGTTTACATTTTGGGTACACTTAAAAATCCATACAGTGTTATTTTTTTAATTTATTTTTTTTATTGCATTTTTCATTTATACAAAGACAAACAATACATGGCTACAGGGTTTACTATATGACATCCAAGTTGGTTAAAATCTCGTTGAATAGTTATACAAGTCAGACAGTTGTAGTTCATTTAGATTATTTTAAATCGATATCCCCTGCAGTCATTATAAAAACAAAACACACAAGACAAGGCAGGCAGATGGAAGTCACCGGTCAGTTAAGGAGGGTACCCCCGCTGTTATAGAGGTATTATATTCAGAATAAACAGAGACGAGAGAAGAAAAATACTATATATAAATATGTATATAATAGAACTTATTTACTCTTGCTCCCTCTCATTCATTATACCAGAGTTTCAGTTAGATATTTCAATAAACAGTAATATAAATACGATAAATCAGTTTGTTATTAATGTAACCAGCCAAGGTTGCCATCTTTTATTATGCTATTCATATTTTTCATAGTATATACCTTCTCCATTGAGTATTGATATTAGAGTTGGTTTAAGATATAAGTCCAAGATGGAATTTCTTGTTTTAACCAGAATATAGAGATTGCAACTTTGGCTGCCATTGTAAATTAAAGTAATAAGTAATTTTTTTGAGTCTATATCCCTGACAGATTGATATAAAACATAACAACCCGAAACTCATTCCCCAATTCATATCCCACTACTCCATATTGAATTCAGCATGTAGCTGTAGATATGCTTAGAACCACCCGTACCACGTTTACGTCTCCAGCATAGTGGGGAGACTGCTGGATCTATTTTATTAATTACTTTAGGGACATGATGCCACTGATGTAATATTTTATAATAAAGTTTGATATGATTCAGGCAATGTAAGTTTTTTTTAACTGATAAAATAGACTTATACAATCAATCAATAGGTATAGGGACTTGGTAGTCTTTATCCCAATCATTCCAAGCTTTGGATTTTTGATCTTTATCGTTTGTTCTCAATATTTCATAGCAGAGAGAAATGATCTTAGATTTAAAGTCCCTCTCAAAGAGCTTATTCAATTTTTTATTTAGTATGTCATGGTCATCATTTAAAATATGACCACCAATATAACTTTTAATTCTTAGATAATTGAAAACCTCCTTGGGAGGAATATTGCATGACTGCTGCAGTTGTGTAAAATGATTTATCCTATTATCCATTATAATATCTGAAATAGTCAGAATACCAGCTCCAATCCAATTTTTTAAATTTAGATCCGATATATTACTTTGTATATATCGCAATTTTTTCCAATATCATATTCTTCTTTCATTACTTGAAACCAGTTGAAACATAGCTCCTTTAAATATATACTTTCAATAGTTAATATGAACTTGGTACTTGCACCCTCATCTAGCCAAATCAAGGCGGATAGATCGCTAGACCTCAATATAAACAACTGTACCTTATACCATGGTTCGTCGGCTGCATTAGAGGCCTGCCATCTTCTTAAATGAAAAATCCTAGTCGCTTCATAATATCTGATGATATTTGGGATCGCTAAGCCCCCTTTAATAGTTTTTCTCATTAGGTGTGAAGCTGAGATTCTAGGTTTCTTTGAACCCCGTATATAATTCATAAAAAGGTTATGAACTTGTTTCAGTTTAGTTATAGGCATAGATAAAAGTAGCATTCTAAAAACATAAGCCCATTTAGGGAGAATATATGACTTAATAATATTCACTCTTCCCAACCAAGAAATACCAATGCTTTTCCATTCCCTCAACAGTTTTGCCCTTGTGTCTTTATAACGATTTAAAAATTTGACGTCGGACGGGGAAGCTGACGTCGGCAGGGCAGGAGAAGTCACCAGCGCCGAGGGAGCCCGGCGCTTGATTAAGGTAAGCTGCTGAAGGGGTTTTAACCCCTTCAGCGCCACGGGAGTTTTGTTTTCCTGACAATATAGTGATCCTGTTACGCTACATGGGTGATTTGGATTGGAACTCAACTGCAGCTTGTAAAACTCCCTAATTACAATTGTGAAGAAACGGAGAATCTTTAAAGTATCAATACTGTAGCTTTAAGAAAAGAGAAAATCACTGGTAACTTGATTCAACCGAAGTTTTAATAAGTGTTAAACTTAAATGAATTGCATTTAGGCAATAATCCAATAAGAGGAAGTGCAAGTAATCAACAACACAAAGTTCATTATTAAGTATTTCCTCAGAGATGCATTAAGTAACATTCTTTAAGTTCATGAGAATAATCTTCAATAGAAACAATAAGCAAGTAGCCAAGAATATTTGCAAAGCGAGAACAGTTCATAGTGAATAAGTATAATGGGAGTTGTCCTCCATATAATTAGTAGTTTGAAGCACTGAGTATATTTGCAAAGCAAGAAACAGTTCATAGTGAGTAAGCATGATGGGAGTTGTCCTCCATATAATTAGTCGTTTGTAGCAATGAAGATTTGAGTAAGCAAGCATTAGTTCATTATTAAATGATAATTTAGACAAATAGCTGAAAGATATACTTAAGGTTAATCTGAGTAGTCCTCCAATAGTTTAGGGATATGGTCCACTTGTAAAGTAAGTGAGTTTCCGTTCTCCAGTAATCCTCTATGACATGAAGCATATTTGGACGACTTCAGAGTTTGTAGAGCCGGCGTGTCCCAGGAGCCGGCGTGCATATTCGGAAGTAGGACCCACAATGCCAGAGCCTGTGGAGAGGTAAGTCTGGCGGAAGTAGCTCCCAGTATCACGAAGCACCCTCTCTCTGGCGCAGTCTCCCTAAATACCGTTAGAGCCGCGTCAGAGAGGGGTGGGGACCGGCTACGCACAGCGGAGTGCCGGACCCGGAAGTGTTACCGTATGACAGATCCTTTAACTTTATAATTAGATACTTTACTGTACCTCTCAATTTCTGAAACCAGAGCAGCCAGGGAAACTTCTGGATCTGTCAGGGTGAGAATAATATCATCTGCGTATAGACACAGCTTATAGTGGGTGTCATCCAATTTAATGCCCTTAATTTGAGAATTAACTCTAATATCTAAGATGTACAGAAAAGGGGGCAGTGGGCAGCCCTGTCTGGTACCATTTTGAAATCTAAACCAACCGGCTGAGATACTTGGGCCCACTGTTTTAGCCATCTGTTTGTCATATAAGACCATTATCACCGCCCTTATTGGACCATTGAATCCACATTTCTTTAGAGCCTTAGCCATAAAACCCCAGCTGACCCTGTGAAATGCATTTTTAGCATCTAATGACAGGGCCAGCAGAGGTTCACCAGTCCTGTTTGAATGATCAATCAGACCCAATAATCATCGAGTATTATTGTTTGATAAATTACCCTGTACGAAGCTAATTTGATCTTGGTGCACTTGGAATGGAATTAGAGGTTTTATTCTATTGGCTGATGCTGAATAGTAGATTTTATTATCAGAATTTATCAAAGATATTTGTCTGTAATTTGTGGTAGAGGAGGGGTCCTTTCCCTCTGTAACGAATACTAAATACTATATACCATATTTGTGGATTACAATATTATTACTGGTTTGCACTTTTGCTACAATATTGTGCACCTATACTCTATACGAATGTTTAAACGAACAAACTATGCCTAATTTGTTCGTTTACCGAACAGTTTGTCGAACGATAGACCACCCAAGCCACCCAATTGACTCATTTGACTATATGCCAAACCACAACATTCTAAGTGGTTCACTGGGTGGCCATCGATTCGTATGCACGAACACATGGTGGCGGCCATCTTGTTTTGTCGAACGCGTCCAGTGTGGTTTGGTCGTCAAGTGTCTGGAACTAATTTCAGACACTCAATCTCCCGAACACTGCTGAGACTTCCAAGACCACTTAGCTTTGTTATAATCCATCCGAAGAAGGCGGCATTTGGTAGAAATTGTATACGAATGAAGTGGCACACGGCCATCAAACGAATGAGCTATTATGTGAACTGTTATTCGACATTTTGTTAATGCATGCAGAAATGGGACTTCCAGCTATCTCCCGAACCCCTCAACCAATTTGTATGATTTTTTGATATGTTGTTCCCCTGACTGTGAACTATCAGAATATGTGTGTTTTGTGGGGTTTGTTTTGGTTCTGGTGTGTTTCTAAAAATGTGGAAAAATTGCTATTTTGTTGTTTGGAGATAATTAAGTTGATACACTAATTAACTCAATTATCTCCTAAGCAGAGGGGAGGAATTTTATATAAGTAATGGGAGTGTTTGATTATGTGACTCTATGTTTATTGGCTGTTAACTGTATTTCCCTGTGCCCCACAAGGTCCACCTGGGTGATAACCTTGTGGGGAAAGTTGCATAAAAGGCCAGCCTGGCCCATTAAAGCTTCAGATCTGCTTAACCCATAATACGTAGTCTTGTCTCGTGTTTGCAGGGAACCTGCTTCACAGCTAATCACTAGCTCATGTAAGAGCTCTATTACCCTTTCACTACTGGTTCAGCTGAGGTGACATCTGGAGAATACTGCAGCAAAGCTTCTCTCAAGGGAAAAGGACGTCTCCAATGGCATATACCCCTTAGATACTCGGGGTAGCCGTTACACCCTCTTTTAAAATTAGAATGATAGAGGCCTGCAGCAGTTCTTTTGGTATTATTCCCTTCATTCTAATTTCATTAAAGATATTAGTCAAATGTGAAACTAAATAATTTTTAAACCTTTTATAAAAGAGGTTGGGGAACCTATCAGGTTCTTAGGCTTTATGCATTTTAAGATTATTAATTACGTCCACCATTGCTTTTTCAGAAAAAGGTAGATTTAAATCCGCTATTTGTGCATCAGTTAGTCTAGGGAGAGCTGTTCCTACTAGATACTTATCAATATCTTGTTCTAGTGGACATAACGGAAGGTTGTACAGTATTGTGTAATAGTTATTAAAAGCCTCACCAATTGCTTTAGGGTCAATATGACTATTATCATTAACTAACTCTACAATTTTTAAATTTATTTGATAGCATTTTATCCACCCTGTTGCCTTTGTAATACCAATTTTGATAACATTATTGTAATGCATAAGTTGCTTTAGACCAGAGAATTATGTTAATCCTTTCTTCTATTGTGGAATTTATTATCCTAAGATCTTTTGTTTGGGAGAGTTTGTTTAATTTATTTAGGTTATGTAATTCGAGATATAACAAGTTAAGAGATTTTTTTATTCTCAGAACCTATTTTTACAATGTATCCTCGTACAACTCTTTTGAAAGCACCCCAGACTGTTGGAAGAGGGATTTCACAATCTAAGTTTTCTTTAAAGAAGAGCTTCATCATGTTTGTTAAGTATACACAGCTAGATTTGTTGCTCAACACTTTCTCGTTTAGCCTCCAGGACGAACGGAATCCCTTATCCAAACTTGTCTCAATATCAATAAGAAGAGCTGCGTGATCAGACCAGGCCATTTCTTTTTTAGTTGTTAAACTACAATACTGAATTAGATGTGATTTTATAAAAAAAATATTTCAACCGAGAATAAGACATATGTGGTTTGGAGAAAAGGTAAAATCTAATTCTTCTGGATGCATTACTCTCCAAATATCTTTTAATTTGAATTTGTTTATTATATTCCGGAACTGAGTGACAGATCTTCTAATAGGATTACCTTTTTTGCACGACTTGAGGATTTTTTATCCATAATTGGATCAATAGTAGAGTTAAAGTCGCCTCCTATAAACAAAGTTCCCTGTACCAGTTTCTCCACCCTGGTTAAAAGATTATTTAAAAATTTCAGTGGGTGCTTATTAGGGGCATGAATGTTGAGCAACGAATAAATTCTTCCCTGGATTTCACAGATTAAGAAAAATATCTTGGAAAAGTTCGGACCCCCCTTCTATCCAGGAAGTACGCAATAGGGTACAATCGACTTATGAACTTGAACGTCTAGCATTCCGACTGAATGGTCGCGAGACGAAACACACTCTCCTATGGCAAAGCTGGCACTCGGCTCCCTCCCCAAATTGAAAATCCCCCCACACAACGAACCACAAAACTGCTAAATTAATAAATAATAATAAATAAATAAATAAATAAAATAAATAATAATAATAAATAATACCCACCCAGGCCTCGTTGTAGCAATACGACACCTTCAAACCTCTGAGGGCAGGACCCCACGACCCTCCTCATTGTTAACATTGATATCATCTCCCCTGTTAGTCCGCCATTATCGATGCCCACGACTTCACAAGACCCCCGACTCCACCTCAACTCACCCATAGCTGCTGTCCGTCTAAATGGCCTCTGGTACATTGATTGGCATATTATAACAGTACCTCTCATCTCGTGTATTAACTGTAATACGATGTATGTTAAACCATGTACATTACACTGTTGTTTTTTGACTGAGCGGTACCTTCCCCCCCCCCCCCTCTTCCTTTCTGTATCCCACATACCCCCAGTTATGTATGTACTTGTTTCCTATAAATACCAATAAAAAGGAGACATAAAAAAAAGAAAAATATCTACTATTCTCCCCTATTTCCCTATAGATTTATCTAAATGCAATCTTATTTGAAATCAAGATTGCAACACCAAGTTTCTTAGCTCTGTATACAGAAGAGATGACAACTGGGTAATAAGAGCTCTTCAACATGGGAGCATTATGCTTCCAGTGAGTCTCCTGTAAAAATCTGATCGACACATTGAGATCCCTTAATTGTTTTAGTACTAACTGTCGTTTCTGTGGGGAATTTAGTCCCTGTACATTTATTGATAATTTAATTCCCCTCTCTTCATCCATTAAAAAAAAAATAGACGTACTACCTCCCCAACTGATCAGTGACTGACTGCATAACAAAAAACATATAACATTTAAAACACCGAGCTTAATTAGGCTTACAAAACCAAACACCACCCCCTGCGGTGAAAGTCTTCCCCCTATTATGTCTTTACCCCTCCTACCCGGATAGACACAATTTATAGCTCAATTGAAGATTATGCTAGCTTTAGTGTACAGATAATCTTAATTTTAATAATGACAGGAGGCGAGTATTTTGCATAATCTTTCTTTACTATCTCCATAGCAGCAAAGAAAAGAGTGACAAAACTTTTAACCAATCACAACGAATAGGGTATAAGAGGTGAGACCTATGACATAATTTCCTCTTTAAAATTGCGACATCACAAGTTCATAAATGTAGAAAAATAACCGAACAGCTGAGAAGTCCATAGAACAAGAAACTGGAAACTTAATCAGAATAAATTGAACCGGAACAGGTAGAATGCAGATGAAGGCGTCTCCTTGTCAAACGATGGTCTACCAAGACCTGATGATGAATCTCCTGATGCGATGATGACGACATCTTGCATGGAGACTTTAATGATTCCGTGTAGCTTCTGGTTAAGCTGAAACGAGAGTATAAGGTGCGTTAGAGTCCAGAAGTGATTGTATAAAACAAAGGATGTCTGTCCCGTAATTCAACTTTAATATCGTCTAGTAACATGATAATAATAATAAACTAAACGTCCTCCCTAGAGGTGTTAAATAAGTATCCCACCCAGACAATATACATATATCTCTATAATGTAAATAAGGCATTTAAACAAGAGCTACCGCGTCAGGTATTATACCAACATATGAGAGAGCAAAGTGTAGTAGGTAGAAGTGAAAATAAAAGGGAGGGAAGAACGAAAGAGAACAGGGAGGGAAAATACTCGCCTCCTGTCATTAGCTAGCATAATCTTCAATTTTATCACATGACAGGAGGCTTCGTATTTTGCAATTTCAACGCTGTGAAAGAAAAGCAAATGCCGGATTATCAAGAGGACGAAAGTAGAATGTCCTAAAGGTAGATTCTCTGGTCCAGTCCGCTGCTCGTAAAATGTCCGAGAGGGACGCGCCTGCCGCATAAGCGGAAGAGGCCGCTGCCCCACGAACGGAGTGTGCTCCAAAAGTTTGGTCAATACCGGCAAGGGATAGTAGCCATCTAACCCATCTGGCCAGTGTAGTAACCGAAACCGGACCATAAGGGCTTCCACGTAGTGACGGAGGGTTGAGACCACGCAGAGTTGAGGGTCAGAAGGGAAGAAAGGGTAGAAGACCGAGTGAGAGTTGGACTTAGTGCGAGGTGAGATCTGAAAGGTGACACCCGCCGGACAGAAAGTAAATGCGTTGGCGTCAAAGGCGCGTACATCCGCTACCCATCGAAAGGAAACCAGACAGAGCAAGAGGGTGAATTTTGCGGTAAGCTGGCGGAGTGATAGTTTCTCGTTGGGAGGCCAATTACGTAAAAATTGAAGGACCACACCAATGTCCCTGAGACTAGAATATTTAGGTTCCGGGGGGCGCCATAGGCGCATGCCGCGGAGAAGTCTGCAGATGAGTGGGTCCTTACCAACAGGAATCCCCTGTATCGGAGTATGAGCCGCTGAGATGGCTGACCGTACCACGTTGATGGAACGGTATGACTTTCCGGCGGTGAAAAGTGAAGTCAGGAAATTCATGATGGAGTGAGTAGGTGCAGTAAAGGGATTGAGGTCCCGTCCCACACACCAACTTGTCCAGGAGTGCCACGCTGATAAGTAGCACCTCCTAGTTCCTGGTGCCCATGAATCCCATAGCAGGTCCTTAGTTTCCTGCGATAATTCTTCGGTTCTCCAGGAACCCCGGAAAGAGTCCAGGCCACCAGGGGCAAGCGTGCCTGCAGGACTAGTGGGTGAGGAAGGCCCAATGGATTCCTGAGGATGGTTGGGGCATCTGGTAGGAGGAGGGGATTGAGAGTTCCAGAAGGTCCGGAAACCATGGCTGGCTCTGCCAGAGCGGCGTGATGAGAATTATCCTCACTCCCTGTAGACGGATCCGGTGAAGGACCCTCGTTATCATTGCGAAAGGAGGGAATGCGTAGGCGCCGTCCCTTGGCCATTGTTGGAGAAAAGCGTCCGTTGCGAGACTCTCCGGGTCTGGGAGCCAGCTGAAGAAAACCTCTGTCTGTCGATTGTTGCGGGACGCGAAAAGGTCTATGTAGAGAGGTCCCCTCTGTGCATCCAGTAGCGCGAAAATATGAGGGTCTAGCTGCCAATCACTGGCGTCCCGCCAGTGGCGTGAGTACCAATCCGCCGTCGTATTGGAGTCTCCTGGTAAGTGCTCTGCCAGCAAGGTGATGTTGCGTGGTAGGCAGTAGTCGAAGATCTCTTTCGTGAGATCCGCCAGTGTTCGAGAACGAGTGCCTCCAAGGCGGTTGATGTATCTGACCGCTGAGACGTTGTCCATGCGGAGTAGGATGCAGCAGTTGGATCGGTCCTTTGCCAGGCTGCGAATGGCGAAGGACCCGGCCAAGAGTTCCAGGCAATTTATGTGCATCGAGAGCTCTTCGGAAGTCCAGACTCCTCCTGTGGACGTGGTTCCGTCTGTTGCCCCCCAGCCTGAACGGCTGGCATCCGATTCCAGCACGAAGTCTGGCTGGTTCCCGAATATGGCCCTGCCATTCCAAGCCTGCATGCAATTCAGCCACCAGTGTAGTTCTTCCCGAACTTCGACCGACATTGGAACCGGTTGGTCGTATGTCGGTTGTCTGCGAAGGAAACTTGCCTTGAGGCGTTGCATGGCCCTGTAGTGCAGGGGCCCGGGAAAAATGGCCTGGATGGATGCGGAGAGAAGGCCTACGATCCGTGCCAGTAATCGTAGGGGTATGGTAGTCCGACGAAGGACTTTCCGGATCTCCCTGCGGATTGCCGTAATTTTGGTAGCCGGGAGGTGAAGAGTGCATGATGTGGAGTCTATTACGAATCTGAGTAATTGAACTGATTGAGCCGGGGTCAATGCGGACTTGGGACGGTTGACGACGAAACCCAGAGAGTCCAAAAGGTGTAGTGCGTATTCCGTATGTCTCCGCAGAGTGTCTGCATCCTCGTCGAAGATCAGGATATCGTCGAGGTAGATGATGCATCATATGCCTTGGGATCTGATTTTTGCCACTACCGGCTTCATAATCTTGGTAAAACACCACGGGGCCGAGCTGAGGCCAAACGGGAGACAGGTGAACTGCCAGGGGATCCCGTGCCAGAAGAAGCGGAGGTAGGGACGGCTGCTTCTGTGTACCGGAATGGTAAGGTACGCATCTTTGAGGTCCAGACGAGTGAACCAGTCGTCGCATCGAAGCAAGTCCCGGAGGAGATGTATACCTTCCATTTTGAAATGTCGATATACCACGTGCGAATTGAGCTCCCTGAGATTGATAACGGGGCGAAATTCGCCTGTTTTCTTCCTGACCAGGAAGATATTGCTGTAGAAACCGGTGGCATTCGGAGCCGGTTGGATGGCACCCTTGGAGCGGAGTTCTCGGAGTTCCGCGTCTATGAGGCGGGCATCTGCCCGTGTAGTCTGGATTGGACATGGAGGGGCCAGCTGGAGCGGGGTCGAGTCGAACTCTATTCGATAGCCCTGCACCGTTTGGATTATCCACGCATCTGAAGATAGTTCTTTCCAGTTCTGGAAAAAAAGAGAAACACGACCTGCGATATGACAGGGGGTTAGAGGAAGAGTAAGATTCCGACTTACCGTTGGAAAATCTTGCTCGTGAGCGTCCTCGGGTGCCTCGGCCACGATCAGATCCCCTGAATTGGTGGAATCTATTTCGACTAGATGAGTCTGGGTAGAACATCTGCCTGATGCCTGATGGCCAAAAACGGCTGGCGGCATGGCCCCTCTGCCGTCCAGCCCTTCCAAAAACACCCCGGGTGTGGGAACCGCGGAAGACTTTCCGCATTGAAGATTGTGCCTTGTTAAGGGACGTGAATATGTTGACCCTTTTATTTAATTCCTTAAGGAAGGCCTCTCCAAATAATTTACCCTGTGCTAAGGGTCCTAATTCCTTGTCCCCCAGTTCGACCAATTTTTCGTCGATACGGTAAAGTGCTGCTCGGCGCCTCTCTGAAGAGAGGGCTACGTTGGTGTTCCCTAGGAAACAGAAACACCTTTGTGCCCATTCCCGGGTATCTCGTGCCCATTCACGCACCGTATCTGGGGTAAAAGTGTCAGCCCTCTCATAGGCTTCATCCGCCATATCCATGATTCTGGCTAGTGGCCCAATGGCATCTAGCAGCTTGTCTTGCGCTCCTTTAAAGCCGCGCTCTATGCCCTTGCGCGGATCCCGACCCCCTCGGGACATGAACGTAGTCATGAGCGGGTCAAACTCGGGGGTGTGCGTCACTTTGTCCGGTAGACTAGGGCGAGGGCATTCGGATCTCATCCGGTTTCTTACTTCCTTGTCCAGCGTTTTTCTGAGCCAGAAGTGCATAAACCTTGCCAAATGCTCAGGTGGTGACCATTCTTCCGAACGGGGGTGCCGGATGTTTCTTGGGTCGAACATTTGGAGGCCCGAATTGTCGAGGAAAATCTCCGAGCCCTCCTGTGGGTTATCCATGGATGTTGCCATGGAGTCCTGGGGCTCACCCAGACCCTGTTCCCTTATGAAGTAAGGGTCAGAGTTGGCCGTGGAATCCCTGTCGGAGTCCCCCTGGTCAGAGGCTGCCGCCTGCCATTCATCCAGCACAGCTAGTGCCTGAGTGGGTTCTACATCTTCCTCACCTGAGGAAAGTTGTGTGGCATCGTGGGTAGCACGAACCGTGGCTTTCCTGCGATCAGCAGGGGCTTTCCCTTTAGCCTTGCGTGGGGTTACGTTGCCCTTCCAATGGCGTTTTCGCCGTTAGGAGTGTTCCCTGGAAGAGTCGGAGTCTTCGGAGTCCGCCTTATAATGAACCCGTTTAGAGATAGGCCTGGGGACTTCAGAGTCTGTTTGGAGCGACTTGGAAGCGGCTTGTTCCATGGCTGCAGCCACGGCTGGTGTTATCATGGCCTGGAGGTCTGGGGTTTGTGATTCCTCCATTATAAGGAATGAGGATTCGGGGCTCACCCGGTAAATTGCGTGAGGGCACTAGGCACGATTAGTGGAGAGGCCTGGGGACCGGGGTGGTATGGTATCAGGACTAAATAACCTGTGGTTAGAGACCGGTAGGTCGTAGGAAGAGGAGAGGGCTGATTCACTGGGGCTCACCCAGGTGATCGGAACCTGCATGAACAGGACCGTTTAGCAGCGTAAAATGGGGGCTCACCCCGGCCAGAATAAGGTGCAGACCAACTGGCTAAACCAACCCCAAGTGTAAGGCACTAACCTGGTCCCACTGAGTGAAAAGGGTTAAGGCTTTCCAATTGCTTGCCGGATTAGCAGGAGCAGAAAATCAGGCAGTGTCTATCTCTTTAAGATGGCCGCCGGACTGACAGGCTTAGTGTGGGCGGCAAACTGTAAGCTTGTCATTCGCATAAAACTGCCGAACGTGAATAGAAGATCTATGCGAACTGCCGAACGTGCGAATAGAAATAGATGCGAACGCTTAAAAAAGGCGATCGCATCAAACTGCCGAACGAAGCGTTCAGTTGAAAGAAACGAATAGTCAATGTGCGGTCGCACATAAAAGACCGCGGGCATTCGAGTCAAACAGGCGAATGCGCAAAACTACCGAATAAAGCGTTCGGTAGAAACAACAGAAAAAGCTGTTAAAAGAAACAGAGAATATGGAGGGAAAGTACAGACGGCGGGAAAGCCGTGAAAGACAGTTAGGGAGCCAGACAAGGTCCCCTGGTATACAGATAGGTTAAGAGCAGTAATAGGGCAAATATATAAAGGTACAGTGATAGAACAAAAGGCATGTAAATGAATAAGTGTATGTAGAATAGATAACACAAAATTTGGTACTTAACTTGTGATGGAGCAGCAAAGAAAGAGGAAATGATGTCATAGGTCTCACCTCTTATACCCTATTCTACGTTGTGATTGGTTAAAAGTTTTGTCACTCTTTTCTTTGCTGCTATGGAGAAAGATTATGCAAAATACGAAGCCTCCTGTCATGTGATAAAATTACTAAGAGCTCTAGTTATGGCCTATAGAATGTTGTAATTGACGGATTTACATTATATGTGAACACAGATTAGACAATGTTATCCATCAGCAAGCACCTAAACTCTATGTCTTGGTTGGATTCAAATGAGACGAGCCCCCCTGATTTAATACAATCAATAGGGTCATAATCCCCCCTCTATCTACTCCCTCCCCTACCTATGTCCCTTCCCTCACCTCATGCCTTCCCTTCAATCATATTTAACCATTTTTACCCGTACTACGATTATATAACTTTAATCGTTGTATCCTTCAATCTATTTTTATTGAGCCTTACTAAGGTTAATTAATACCTTATTAAACAACCAGCAGATATAACTAGAGGAATTAGAATTTATTTCATAGAATTTTGTTGCTTCTTGCATATTTAATGTACTTGGATATCTATGTTAAAGTGTATTGTGCAGACATTAAGTTACGTCAAGTTTTATTTTACTCCGGTGTCTATATATTTGACTAATTTGTGCAAAGTAGAAAAATATATAAAACTTATATAAAATAAACGGCAAACCCAGTTTCCTTTCTAGAGTGTGAACATGTGAAATGTGTATTTAGAGTGTATTAAATTCAATATTCGGTTCAATCTTTCTTAGCTTTAATTACTTCAATGGCCAACTAAGCGAATAATATACCACCATTATATTTTTGTGACTGTTCATATATCCCAAAGAGTGAAATCGCTAAAATACCAATATTCCCCAATTTATAAGTTGTTCTTGTGAAATTCAAAACTAATTATCCCAAATGGGATTTCTATGTTAATGAATATCCTATCGTTCTCCCTTTCAAACATTATTAGCTATCTCCTATCTTATCTTCCATAGTTATGAATAGATAGATATATTTAAACCTCATAACTTTCATAGTACAGAACAGTTAAGTAATTAATCTTCAGTATGTTGTAATTAAATAAGCCGGGAAGGGAGGGCTCAAAGTTACTCTTGTGAAACGTTAGTTAAGTGTTCTTGCATAGCAAGACCACTTAATGTTATCTCACATATATATTATTAAGTGTTCTTGCATAGCAAGACCACTTAATGTTATCTCACATATATATTATTATTAAGCGTTCTTGCATAGCAAGACCACTTAATGTTATCTCACAAATATATTATTAAGTGTTCTTGCATAGCAAGACCACTTAATGTTATCTCACATATATATATTATTCTTATTCTTATTATAGCCAAATTTGCCACCCTAACTCCTCCCACAGTTTTTACACTACATAGACAGTAATATACCGAAACGTGCGGATTGTTCCCGATTGGATTACTATTACTTTGTGGAATGTTTTGCTGAATGGTTCACGGAATATAGTCGTTCTTGTGGCGAAATTGGTCCCATAGGAATGAAATGGTAAATTGTTCAAAACTAGAGTGGGAGCTGGCAAAAGCTGAAAAATCAGGACATGGTTTCTAAACTGCCACCACTCCCTCATTTTCAAGCCCACCTACACAAATCTTATATCAAAACGTTCAGCTATCCCTGCTGCCACGAAAAATGTCCACGGCTAAGCCATAATCCTGATAGTTTTCACAATATGACCATTTGTTTGCAACTCACGCCGTCCATTGACATTCATTGAAACTCCACTCTTGCCAGCTCAAACTTGAAGGGCAATTTCTAAACTGTGACTGTGCCTTCATTTTTAATACTTCAGAGACATACTATGCATCAAAATGTAGGTCTGGGTCTTGTGATTCTCACAATATAAAGCTCTTCACTGTAGGATTTATAGTTTTTAAAATACGACCGTTTGAAGATGCTAATGTTTTTATAAATGTATGTTTTAATGTAAATGTGAAGCACTTTGGGCAACAACGTTGCAATTAAATGTGCTATATAAATAAATAAAAGTTGAAATGCATTTCTCACTCGATCAAGCTTTCCATGTCTTGCAGGTTGGTTTCCAATCTCTTAACTTTAGAATTTAACAGATCAATTGTTTTCTGTGATGCACAGAATTGCTTTAAATTGTAGCGGGACAACTTAGAAAGTAGGTGTATTTCCAGCACAATCTTAACCAAACTGGTTTGTATTCTTACAGTCCGCATTCCCAAATTCAAATCTTTCCACTTGCCATCTTCCGCCTGTTTTGTGTCTTTATTTTTCATTGGAATTTCTTTCTGGATATGATATATTCAATTAAGTAGACATTATACTGTATAACAGATATTCCTTTAGTTAAGTTTTGCCCAACCTCTGTTGTTCTGCAGTTTAAATATGTGTGATTTAAAGCCAATTCTTATATTGTACATGCACCTTTCCAGTCGTAATAGACAACTTGCCATTGAAATTCATTGTTTGCTTAAAGCCATGTTCAAGGACTGGTTTAATAAAGCTTTGCCTATAGGCTTTAAACCAAGTCGTCTTACTGGCCTTGCTGTGCTATGGGCTGCTACTTTGTTTCTTGATACGTGTAAAGGCCAATATCTCCCAGTTGAAAATTGCACAAAGTCCCTTTAAGTTAAGGCATGCATAACTTGCGTGTTAAACATTTTTCAAGCCGGAAAAAAACTGTAATTTTACCAAGCTGCAACTTTAGTTATAATCTTGTAATATATTTATCCAGTTTATATTTTCCCAGATTCAGTTTCTCTCCCAAATGTTTTACAACTTAACTATATGTAGTTTAAGAGCCAATTCTTATTGCACAAAGTCTCTTAGATTATAGAAAAGCAACTTAGAAATTATTACAATAGTTGGTTTTATCCAGAATACAGCACTGGCTTAATATTGCTTTTCCTGGGATCTCATTCCCAATATCAGCACGCCTTAATATTGTTCCTGAGGTTGAAAGTTTTTGCAGTACAATCTGGTATTTATATCTTCAGCCTGTTATGTATCTATCATTCATGTGTAGCATGGAACAGGGTTATCCAGCAGCGAAAAAACTCACATAGAGCAGCATTCCTCGGCATACAGGAGTTCCACCATCTCAACCACGAGGACACTTAAACCACGGTCACTGCAGGCCAGAGCATTCTATGTCCAGAAATACAGCAAACACAAGTGATTGTGGGGCTCTCCTCTGGTTGGCAGTAAACGTGTTACTAAGTTTAGAGAAGAAAGGCAGCATGGGGAGTAGCAAGGTCGTGTTGTATAGAGGGCGGCATTCACAGCATGGAGCACCTCAATAATGCCTAGGCGTACCCGCAGATTCCATAGCCTAGCGGAGCTCCTCTCACAACGTCCTTTGTCATAACGTCTACCTGGTCTCACAATTCTGAGCCTTAGTGTGGTTGCAGAAGGCTTCGTAATGCCTTGGAATTTGGAGACCTCAGAATTGGAGCTAAAGAATCTGTCACTCTTTTCTTCTATGAAGTGGGTGCTGTGAATACCTTATGTAATAAACATTCTGTATGTCAGAATCTCCGTTTTGAAAGTGGTACTCAAATGGTTCTAACAATTCATTTGACGAACAGAAAATCTGAGAAATAAATTTTTTGGTACGCGAACAAAAAAAATCATGTGGTATTAACCTATACATGTCAGCCCTTTGCTGTGCAAAAAAACTCGCCATGGGTCCCAAGAATATTAGTAAAAGCCAACCCAACAGGAAAATTGTGAGGATGACAATAGAGCTGAAGAAAGAAAAAAAAAATTAAAACATGAAAGCGGTGTCCTCATCTCTGATCTGGCATTGCAGTTTGGTATTGCCAAATCTACAATTTGTACCATAATAAAAAATAAAGAAGACATCAAGGGAGCCAATGTTGTTAAAGGAGTGCAAGCGCTTACAAAACAGAGTACCCAGACACAAGAAGTAGAAAAATTGTGCTTGTTGTTTTTTTGTATGATTTTATGCATGTAAGGTATGATTAATCTATAAAATGTGTGTTAAAATGCTGCATAATGGGTTGATTTTGGGGGTCTGGAACGGATTCATCTAAGTTACATAAATTCTTATGGGAAAATTTGATTCAGTAATCGAATAAATCAGTTCTCGAACAGCCTTCTCGAACGGATAAAGTTTGAGTGCTGATGTTCCACTGTAATTTAATGAGTTGATTGGAACCTACAAAATCTTTAACACACACAAATCAACTTGTCAAACTACCCAATTCAAAATAGAAATCCTGACATCCAGAACGTTTCCTATGAATGTTTGCTTGATATGCTTTCTATAATATCACAGTTGTTTCAGTTTAGGGGACAGTTCATCACACCTTCATCCATACATGTAAAGGGGATACCTTTGCTGGCTTCTACTCTATATTTAGCAAATATGTATGAGGTTTGAAAAGGTAGAAATGCTAAAAGCTGTATTATTTATTTAGCAGTTCGTACAGAGAAAGAAAAAAGTATTTGATCCCCTGCTGATTTTGAACATTTGCCCACTAACAAAAAAATATCAGTCTATAATTTTAATAGTAAGTGTATTTAAACAGTGAAAGACAGAATAACAAAAAAGAAATCCAAAAAATACATGTCAAAAAAGTTAAGTACTTAGTACTTGGTGGTAAAACCCATGTTGGCAATCAGAGAGGTCAGACGTTTCTTGTAGTTGGCCACCAGGTTTGCACACATCTCAGGAGGGATTTCTTCCCACTCCTCTTTGCAGATCCTCTCCAAGTCATTAATGTTTTCGAGGCTGACTTTTGGCAACTCGAACCTTCAGCTCCCTTCACAGATTTTCTATGGGATTAAGTTCTGGAGACTGACTAGGCCATACCAAGGTTTTTTCGTGCTTGTACTTGGCTTTGTATCTGACTCCGGTTTTCTCTTTATCCCTGCTTTGTCTTGTTTTTCCTGACTCCTGTGAACCAGACCTTGGCTAGTTCTTGTTTTCGCTGTCTCTCTGTTCCCTTGACCTCGGCTCGTTCCTAACTCTGTCACTTCTCTGTACTCCGTCGAGTCCGGCCATTCTAAGGCCCTGTAAGATGTATCTGTTTTATCTTGTCTCTTGTTGGACTAAATCTTGAGTGTTGGGGTACACTACCGTGACAGGTGGAGAGTTTGGAATCTGATTGATTAATTGCTTCTCTGGACAGGTGTCTTTTATACCGGTTATGAGCTGAGATTAGGAGCACTGTCTTTAAGAGAGTGCTCCTAATCTCAGTTTGTTACCTCTATAAAAGATACCTGGGAGCCAGAAATCTTCCTGATTGATTGGGGATCAAGTACTTATTTCACTCATTGACATGCAAATCAATGTATAACTTTTTTGAGATGCATTTTTCTGTATTTTTTGTTGTTGTTATTCTGTCACTCACTGTTTAAATACACCTACCATTAAAATTATAGACTGATCATTTCTTTGTCAGTGGACAAATGCTCAAAATCAACAGGGGATCAAATACTTTTTGTTGTTGTTATTCTGTCACTCACTGTTTAAATACACCTACCATTAAAATTATAGACTGATCATTTCTTTGTCAGTGGACAAATGCTCAAAATCAACAGGGGATCAAATACTTTTTTCCCTCACTGTAGCACTCTTATCCACAGCACTTTACAATTTACCCCCAAAAAAACTTTGGTAATTGTACAAACAGGGGATAAATATTTAGACACATTGGAACAAAAGGAGAATATAACCCTACCAGTAAGCTTTCAATCTAGAAGAGAATTGTACATTGAGACAAAAACATTGTGGAGAGAAAATGCACTTGTGAAGTAACAGAAATGTATTTACTATTAAACCAATATAAGGAATACTTTATAACAATCAGTATACCAGACGCAATGAGTATGATGAAGATGGAATCTAGAGGATAAAGATTAAACGCTCTGCAGTCACTTTGCATTGAATGTGGAGAAAATAGAAGACAGTGAATATACAGTAAGTAGTATTGAATAGAAACAATAAATCAGATTGATAAGAAGCAAGAAGTCTGGAGGGCCCTTTGATCAGAGTCCTACAGAGGAGGGAAAGTGTCATTGAAAATAAAAGTGTTTATTGTAGATAAGATTGACCCAGTTGGGTCTCATGCCCGGACTCAATTTGCATGTGTATGGAAGACTTGCATCTTGTGGACATGAAGAAGTCTGGGTGATGGCTGTACTAATGTAGATCTCTGAATAATGTGAAGGTGATACAGTCGGATATCTCAATCATGGAACTGAGCACCGCCATCTGGGTTCCCAGTCCATCAATATTGTAAGCACAATCCATTGCCAGTCAGCAAAGAGACAACATAGAAAGAGGAGAAGAAACAGAAACAATGTATAAAAATGCTGTGCTCAGAAATATCATCCAAAGCACTAAATGTGAGTCAATCATGATGGACACTCAGTGGAATCTGTAGAAATATTTCAGTGGTGACTCTGCTCTTTTACATCTTTGAACCACAATACATTTATATATAATCCCCATTGTTTCTCCTCCTTCAATGCATTGTGTGCTCTGGCTGAGGATTGGGTTGTGATATTTTTGCAAAATTTTGAATAAACATTTAAAAGAAAACAGAGCATCACATAGAGGGTAAGGGGTGGTTCCCCTTCAAGTCATAGCTTTTTTTTTTTTTGCATCTAGTTTCTGAACCAGAAATTTAGAAAGACTTAAGAGAGTGAACCCAGAGTGCAGCAACATTCTGAATCATGCACTTTCATGTCCATGCAAATGTTCAGTAAGTCTGCTGAGATCATTCAGTGTGCAAAATTATATTTCCCAGCAGGCTTTATCACTAAACATGAGATATTGGCACTTCCTTTACAGGAGCCCTCTGCATTATGGGAAACTGCATTAATAACATGATGCTTTATTTCTATACTAAATAAAAAGAATCAAACCATTCTAAATGACACGCTGTAGTGGTTATGGTGCTTGGAATTACACTTTTAAATAAGACAGTGGCTGTTTAATTTCATATGTGGCTTTTACAACTGGCAAAAAATATATATATATATATATATTCACATACAAACATGTATTCCTGTCACCTTTGCTGTTATAACACATGTAGGGTGCCCAGCCCCCCTGTAACCAATTGAAAAGGTAATTTTACTACAGCGCCACGCAGGTCCGTCACGGTGATCTCAGCCAATCCAGTGCTTTCCCATAAGAAAGCATTGGGAGGCTATCGCGCATGTGCACCATTCAGCATCTCCTCATATAGCTGCATTAAATTAATGCATCTCTATAGGGAATGCTCATGCAGTATGTGGAGACACTGAGCCCAAGTGCTGTACACAACCGACCTAAGAAGCCCCTTTAGTGTCCGTCTGAGTGACTGCCACTAGAGGTGTTAATCAGGGACGTATTAGCCGCGAGGCAAACAAGGCATTTGCCTTGGGCGGCATTTTTCAGGGGGCGGCAAAAAACGCCGCCCCCCAAATGCCCAGGGCAGATGCCTTGTTAGCCTCGCGGCTAACTGACATCCCGGGCGGCCGGCGAGGGAGCACTTCCCATGAGCTGACTGCTTAGCTCCCTCGCGCGTCGGCTGCAGAGTGAGGCTGGGAGCCGGAAGATGACGTCATCTTCCGGTTCCCAGCCTCACTCTGCAGCCGACGCGCGAGGGAGCTGAGCAGTCAGCTCATGGGAAGTGCTCCCTCGCCGCCCGCCCGCCAGCGCCGCTCGCCCTGCAGCCACTGGACCACCAGGGAGAGAGACCCCCACCCCCCCAGCACTCCCAAAGGTAAGGAGGTTGGGGGGGATTTAAATTAAAAAAAAAGTTAATGTGTGTGTGTGTGTGTTTGTGTGTGTGACTGTGTTTGTGTCTGTGTATGTGTCTGACTGTGTGTGTATGTGACTGTGTGTGTTTGTGTGTGTGTTTGTGTCTGACTGTGTGTGTATGTGTGTGTCTGACTGTGTGTGTGTGTGTGTGTCTGACTGTGTGTGTGTGTGTATGTGACTGTGTGTCTGTGTGTTTGTGTGTGTGTTTGTGTCTGACTGTGTGTGTGTGTCTGACTGTGTGTGTGTGTCTGACTGTGTGTGTCTGTGTATGTGTCTGACTGTGTGTGTGTATGTGACTGTGTCTGTGTGTGTTTGTGTCTGACTGTGTGTGTATGTGTGTGTGTGTGTGTCTGACTGTGTGTGTCTGTGTATGTGTCTGACTGTGTGTGTGTGTGTATGTGACTGTGTGTGTTTGTGTTTGTGTGTGTTTGTGTCTGACTGTTTGTGTATGTGTGTGTGTGTCTGACTGTTTGTGTCTGTGTATGTGTCTGACTGTGTGTGTGTGTGTGTGTATGTGTCTGACTGTGTGTGTGTATGTGTCTGACTGTGTGTGTGTGTGTCTGACTGTGTGTGTGTGTTTTTGTGTCTGACTGTGTGTGTGTGTATTTAGAAGGTGGGGCGGGGGGAAGGGTTGGGTGGGGGGGGGGAGGGGGTGCGCCTGAGTTTTGTCCTGCCTAGGGCAGCACAAAACCAGGATACACCACTGGTGTTAATAGGCAGCAATGTAAATACTGTGTTTTCTCTGAAAAGGCATTGTTCCCTGCATTGTCTGCAGGGACATAAACGGTGGTTGTTCTGGTGACTACAGTGTCCCTGTAAGTATTTTGTGAAGTAATCTATTAGTTTAATAACTGCATGGAGTTATTGATTAAACAAGGTGTCAGGAATTCACTAGGGAATTAGAAATAATAGGACAAAATCTTAGAAAAAAAAAAGCATTAGGTGAAGATTTTTTTTCCATTTCAGCTCTTAAATATGTAATTCCCCTGTCAATTCCCATCAATTTGCAGTTTAGTGAATAATTCTGAATGCTAAAAATAAAACCACTATGTGAACAATTCATTAAGCCAAAAATTCTGAAATTGCGAAATCTTTGTTTTAAACTTGCTGCATGATGATTTAAAAATGCCAGCTCTAGTTCTGCACAAAGCAAGTCATTTCTTAAATAGGAATATTAATATACATAACTAGGAAATATTTATACAGTCCTTTCAGTGTGTGAAATATGCTGAACCACTTCTAGTTTTGTCTATACCGAATACAAACAATCAACCACCATGGTTATATGTAATATGAAGAAAGGAAGTTGAACACAGATTGGGGATTTCCTAAACTCTTCTAGTAGATGTATTATTGTTACATACTTCATAGCAACAGCCTTCAAGCTGTGTTCATCGTGTTATACAGACAAATAATGCAAAAATGTGTAGAAAAAAGCAGGAAAAAAAATGATAATCTTGTTTGTTTAATGTTACAGTGACTTAGTTGTTGCATTAAATAGTTTTAATATAATTTTACATAACCCAACTCAATACCCTTTACTACAATATTTTTTAATTCTAAAACTGCAATTTTGGGTGCGCATTGCTGTTTAGGAAGAGCTAAAAAATACAAATAGGTAGATCTCACAATTAATTAACTTATTCAGGGATACAGAGTTTTAAATAGATCTTTTATTTTACAATATTTCTGAAATATCAGCAAAGAGGCAAAAACATTGATTTAGTCAAATTATGAACAAACGCTAGGTTTACACCAAGTTACAAAAAAACTGCTCTATTTCATATGGAAAGTTTACATATCATCTCTGCCTACTCCTAACCTTTTACCCTTTTTCTATATCTTCCACTTTCCACCACATAATTCACCCTCTGCTTGAACCCAATATTATTTTACCCTCTCTGGTCATTTGTATTTTGATGTAATTTGACATTTTGTCACTAACCTGTTTGTATCTAGATCCAGAGTGGTTAACACACAGTTGGAAATATAAAACAAATGATTGGGCACTGATAGTTTGGGCACAGATCACAACAAAACATCAAGGATCTATGGACACAGCAGAGAATTTTAGGATTTGTTTAGTATTTTGCTGAAAGCTGTACATCGCACTAATAACGTGAATGAAACTACCTGCACATTGTAAGAGAAGCAGTATGTAAGTTGGTTAATTCATGGGCTTTATAATAGTAATGCCAATGTGATTTGCCTCTTTTTGTTGGAAGAACAAAGGGATTCTTAAAGGGACACAATAGTCACCAGAAAAACTACCGCTTATTGTATTTGTTCTGATGAGCAGAATCATTCCTTTCAGGTCTTTTAGAGAAAATACAGTTTTTACATCACAGTCTAATCAAAACTCCATTGGTCACTCATTAGAAGACTACTAGAGGTGCTTCCTGGGGCAGTGCTGTACACTGTGCAGCACTGCCATTCAGTGTTTCCATCTTCTGCATGCAGACACTGAACTTTCCTCATAGAGACACATTGATTTAATTCATCTCTATGAGGAGATGCTGATTGGCCAGAGCTGTGTTTGACTTGTGCTGGCTCTGCCCTTGATCTGCCTCCTTGACAGTCTCAGCCAATCCTATTGGAAAGCATTGTAATTGGCTCACATAATCATTTCTGATTATGTCAGCTGTAAGCAGGCAGATCAGGGGCAGAGGCAGCAGCTGCAGACTTTAGGGAGGCAAGGAATACGTTTGTGTTTCTGACCCTATAGTGTTCCTTTAAGCACAATAATACGCACCAGAGCAGGGAATCTAACTAATCTATTTGTGGGGAAAATTCCCTGAACATAGACCAGGCAGAGAATCCCTCTAATCTATGCTTGGGGGAAAATTCCCATAACATAGACCAGCTCTCTTACATGGGGAATCCCTTGAATCCCTTGAATCCCCACGCTAAAACAGGTAGGTCATAAAGTGAGGATCACCTGTACCACCTAGGAGGGGTGAGAAAATCAATTTATTATTAAAATGTATATATACTATACCTTTCTCTTTATCCATATCATGTGTACCTGTATATGCTTACTTGTTAAATTTAACTATTTTGGTCAGTAGAAATATAGAGACTATAGGTAATCCTGATGCTTGCTAGCAAGAGAGGTGTAAATACAAAGTATTTCAGAGGATACTAATACCCCACCCTCCCTTCTTGAATTCAATGACATTGTTTATAGAAAGTGGCTTAACTTTTTACTATTAAAGTATCTCTTTGTATTTACACCTCTCTTGCTAGCAAGCGTCAGGATTACCTATAGTCTCTATATTTCTACTGACCATTATATCTAACCTAGCTTGCAACTGTCTCCTATACCTCTTTATTTTACAGGTATTCCCTGCCTCTTTTCTATTAACCATTGCAACCAACTGTTGTGCTGTTTAACCCCTTGTGCACTAGAGGCATTTCATCTATATTCAACCTACCCTGTTCTGCAGGAAGAGTTTAGAAGATACTAGTATCCCATTTTTCTATTTAGAATTCAGTTACATTGTTCATAGCAAGTAGTTTTACTTTACACCAATAAGTATTTCTTTGAAGCAACACTTCTCTTGCTATTGGTTCTATTGGAGGTTTAATACCCCAACTAGTTTATAGGACATATTATTTTGTAGCCTTGTGCTTTTTGTTTTGCTTTTATCTTTTCTATTTTACATTTTAATATATCCATTAAAAGTTATTTTTTATGCTCATTTCATTGTGACTATATTTACCAAATGTTAAGACATTTTATGGTAGTTATTTCTTTTCTTTTTTGTATTCATATAAATACACCATTTAGGGGTTACCCCTCATTTTGTTTCTACCCATATTCGTGCCTCATATTTATATCTAGGCTCTCCTTTTTTCTTTTTTAGTTACTTACCTTTCGGGTGCTTTGCACCAAGGTTTTAATACCTAGTTCTCTTGAGAAGTGTAACACACAATAACTAATACACATTGCTATGGCATCAGTAAGGGATACTGGGAACTAACAAGCCTCAAACAATAAGTGGAAAAAAAACTAGTACCACGAGGTTTGAGACTCAACATATCCACACCTGAAAAAGTGAAAAAGGATGAAAAACTTTTAGGATGGAATAACATACTCCTAGATTGTTCTTTCAATCTAATGCAATATCTAATAAAACTGGAACAAGACCATTTTGACATAACTAATCAGAAACTAAAAGATCAAATTACATTGACCAAAGATTTACACCAAAATAGTGACTACACACTTATGAAAACACAACTACAAACTTGGAAAACTTTATAAAAAAGGTCAGGGAGAAAAAACATTTTAATTTCCAAAGGGGCCATAAAGATTTTAGCGAAGGGAATATCTTTAAATTGAAAACCCAAACCAGAAGATGTTACAACAGTAGAGATTCTTCCCTTTCAGACACAGACAAATCTGACTTTGAGCCCTCACGAAATAGATCAAGAAGCAATTCTTTTTCAAAAAAGACTGACAGTCAGAATCCACCTAGTAAAGGAATCTTAAGAAATCAAGAGAAATCAGTATCATTTCTTAATCAAATACCACAGACTAACTCTGAATCACAATCAAGAGCTGGTTCTTTTTTAGACCAAGCATGGCAGAATTCCCAACGACCCATATTGAGGGACAGGAACCGATGGGGTACAGACCAGATCGACCAAAAAAGTAATCCAAAGCACTAATAATGGAAACAAAGTGATAAACTTGTCCAATTATCCTCTTTCTCCTACACATTTATCCCTTTTAAATAAAGGGCTTTCCTTCATACCAACTCCTGGAGCCAATAAGTTTGATTGTCTAAAGGACACCAATCTCTTTGGCCGTAAACTTGCCCTGAGTGCACTACACAAAAAAAAAGAAAAAATAATGGCCAAAGAATTAGGAGTTGCACTTGAGGATTACAAACACATATAAACATTAGTTACATTACTTGATGATCAAGAAAAAGATCCCCCTTTAACTGACTTGAAACCATTAAGCTGGTTTACACCTAATTTTAAAGACATAATAAATGTGGATTTATTTGTGCAAATAACCACAGAAAAAATTGAACAACTTAATGTCATATCAACACCACTGACCAGCAACCTGTTCTATGCAGAAAATCAAGCTTTAAAGGAACTAAGCTCTGATAAGAATATTATTATCAAACCCTCAGACAAGGGGGGAAATATTGTCCTGGCAGAAATTACAAAATCCGGCTATAATCAATTCATTCTCAACTGGCATCGTTATATAGATGACATCCTAATTTTCTGGACTGGCCATAACCACCTTTGAGGAGATGGTCTCCAAACTGAACTTCAATTACATTGGTTTAAAGCT